GTTTTAATTATGTACATTTATTATAATTATAATTTATATATTCAAATATATAGTATTTTTTATGAATAATTTATTATAAATTTTAATTATATATATATATATATATTGTACATGTTACAATATTAATTAACTAATAAATGGGAAGAAAATGTTAATAATAAAATGAGTTTTATCTTTTTAAAATGGTTTATATTCATGAAAGATTGAAGGCTTACACGTGATGGTTGTGATGAATAAGATAAATGCGCGGGGTGTTCCCGGCGGATAATGATAATGGCAGCGATGATGAGTCAGCATAATCGACGTGGTCAGGGATATACGCCTTTTTGCGCTTTTAAGTTGCACACGTTGGTGGGTGGTGACCCTCTCACCGTTGTCTCCGCAACAACGGGGCCCACACTACCCTTCCCAAGCCCAAAAAGTTAAAAAAAATAAAAAATAAAAATAGAGATTTTAGAATTGGAATTTAGATAGGCAAAGCATAAAGTAAAATAACCGCAGAATATGCTTTGCTCTGTTGCGCAGATTATCCTTTCCTCTTTACTCGCTCATCTTTTCGTTCAGTTCCTTCCTTCTTATGATTCTCTTCCTAAATTCTCTCATTAATTTTCCTCTCTCCAAAACAACCACCATTTAATCCTGTACTTAAACCCTTCCTCAGCAACCAATTAGCGATATTTTCACTAAAGAAGAAATTAAGAAAGTGTTGTTATGGAGCTCCTAACCTCCATGGTAGAATTTTATGGCATGGCGTGCCTGGTGCTTTTTGTCATTATCTTGCCCTTATACCTCAGTAAGGTCACCAGCGACACTCGCCGCACGCCAAAAGTTTGCGTCCACCGCGAACCGCTTTCTCATGCCGAACGGTTGACGGTTCAGCCCGCTCAAAGCAAGAGCAAGGTCGGTTCTGTTAATCCGGTTCAAGCTGCCACGTGCCTCCAAACGAAACGCGATATACACGAGGCGGTTAGTTCTGTTCCCACGGTCGAATCCGATTCCAATGTTACTGTGGACTCAGACCCTGACATTGCCGTTAAAGATGAAATCGTCGAGCCTGACGAGAAGAACATGGAAAGTGCTGCTGCTGATGATGATGATGATTGGGAAGGGATTGAGAAGAGTGAGGTGGAGAAAGAGTTTATGGCGGCTACGGAATTCGTTAGTGGAGAGGGTAATAGATTGGAAAGTGTTGGAAGCAACGTGCAAATGGAGCTGTATGGGCTTCACAAGGTTGCCATCGAAGGACCTTGCTGTGAACCTCCGCCAATGCCTCTCAAGCTCTCTGCACGTGCCAAGTGGTATCAATTTTCAACTTACCTAACTCCGTTTTCTTTTTTCTTTTCTTTCCTGTGATGCCTATTAATGCTTCGTGTTATGCCTCGTTCAATTACCTTACTTGCTTAGTTGCTTTGCCTTGTTTGTTATCTCTTTTGTTTTGATGCAACTTTTTTTTTTTGGATTTGGAATTTTATCAAGATTTTGAATGACATGACAATGCATTGTTCGATTGAGATTCAGATTTTAGACTTGCCGTGTTCATGCTTAAAAGAGTGTTTTCTTTTTCCTTTTTGTCCACAATATATTTTTGAATCAATAGGATGATTTAATAATTCTTTCCGGTGCTTAGAAATTACCTATTTGGATGTAGAATTGTCTTTTTTACATTAATTAATAAAAGATTTAATACATCTTATATTATAGTCCTGAATATTTTTTTAAAAAATTTATTCTATCTCTAAATTAAAAAATTATAATTAAGTTTTTCATCTTTTTATTTTTTTAATTTAATATTTGGACTTAGAAATTTGTATACAATTCATAAAGTTGTACAAAATATTTTTATGCACACCCATTACTAAAAAAATAATCTAATATAGTTGTTTAGGTTCTGGGACATTAAAAATATTTTATGAAATTTCACGAATTGTAATTTTTTTTTAACCATATAGATTAAATTACATAAAAAAGATGAAAGATTTAATTATATATATATATATTTAATTTAGAACTTAATTAAAGCATTTCAAAAAGTTTATAAATTAAATGATATTAAATTTTAATAAAATAAAATAAAATAAAAAGTGTTATTTTAATCTCTACTACAATGATTTTTAAGTATTGGAGCTCATCCAATTCCCCTTATTAATAAGCTGTACATGTGGAAATTATTCCGATCACTGCCAAAATTTGTTTAGGTTCAGAAAGATAGAATTTTATTAAAATAAATTACATAAACAAAATTTCATGAAATTACACATTCTTTATTTGTTCTACTCTTAAATTTTTTTTTTGAAATTACACCCATTATTTATTAGAACACATTAACCTTTAAGCGTTTAAAAAATACTATATTATAAGGAAAGTTGCTATAAACCTTAAATCTCAAGAGGGAAATTATGTGTAATTTCACGGAACACTAACGTAATTTACTCATTTTATTAATGATGAGGGATAAGTTTGAATCGTTTCTCTCTTAAAGAACAAGAACCAAAACCAATTTTTGTACGTAAGTTCATAAATAGTACTACTTGGGTTGTGATGTCGTCAGCCGAAGTGTAGTCCCGTGGTAATTCTCATGCATTTGATTGGGTATTCCCTCAAGACGTAATATACAAGAAAATTGGACAGATAATAAACCAATCATCAAAATCAAAATGAATGGTAAGACTGACTTTGTCTAATCTTATATTTGGACCGATGGAAAGAGATGGAATAAAATGGAATGAAATATAATAGCATAAAATTTCCATTTCATTATTTATTTACTCAATACATATGTTAATTATACTGAAACGGAACAAAGTTCTCATTCCATTTTATTCCTCCCAAGCTGGGGATAAGAAAAATGAAGGTAAAAAATGGAATAGATTCCACATGTTTTCAATATATTTCAATTTCATCTTCATTTTACCAATCCAAACAATGAAACCATTATATTTAATTTCCTTTCATTCCATCTTCTTCCATCAATTCTAATATAGCCTTTATGACACAAGGATTATTATTCAAGAGGGGAAGAAAAAATATGTCAAACACTCTAAAACTAGATAAATAAATGTAAACAACTCATGCGGCCGTGTTGTACAAGTTACACGGTATAGCTTGATTGCTAGTTATAATAACAGGGTTGAGAGCTGCTTTATATGAGTGATCCACAGTACTGATTCCGTTATGCAAGGAATGCTTGGCAAAAGCTGGGGAACATGAGTCCAGAGGTTGCAATGGAGCAGTATATCAGCCTTCTTTCAGATAAATTTCCGGGATGGATGAAAGATCCTTCTGCTGTGAGTTTGTGTTGTTGAAGCATATCGTGTTTTAATATCTTACCTTACAAGAGCAATGGAATTGAAGCAAACCCTTTTGCAGGGAATGAGTGAACATGAACCCACAAGACCTGAAGTTTCCGACTCTGCTGCTTCTGATATAAGCACAACTTTGTCTCATCAACAAATGATCATAACTGAAAGGTAATTGATAGTCCATTTTTATACTCATTATTGTTATTCATACGCGAGGTTTGTGTAGAAAATTTGAAGTTTAAGAGAAATTTAAACTTATTAGTAATTAACTTTTATATTAATTTTTTTACTTTTTTGACTTGTTAAATCATTTATTAATATTAGTGAATAAAAGATATTTCATGTTTTTCTCTAAATACACTCACATTAGTCGATATAATGGACGGTTATTAAGAGATTAAAAGGAACAATGTGTATATTAAAATAAAGAATCTATTTTATATATAGGTATAGATATTATAATTAAGTATTTTTAACTGTGTTGTATGTTCCACGGCCCTGTTATCACATGTCTGTTTTGATTGTCTTTTTGATCAATAATATTAGATTAAATTTTGCGTAATATGTTTTTGGTATATCTGATTTTATGATGGCTACATCTCTCCAGCAGGGAACTTGAACAAGTGTCTGATTTCAAGGATCACAACCCACTTACAGAATCAGATTTGGAGAACAATGTAAGATTTTAGATGCATTTAGATTTCAGACTTGTACATTGACAAAAATATGAATAGCTTAACATAATATTGGAAAATGTTATCTGTTCACCAGATCCAAATCTAGACACATGGTATTTTTATTTCGTCTAAATGAATATTTAAGACATTTTCACTAAAATTAGGAGCCACATAACAAATAATCACAATTGTTGAAGGAAATTTTTAGAAAACATAAACAGTTGGAGACAGTTGTTCATCTTGTAAATGTGGGATATCCTTTTATGATTTACTTAAGCCACTTCCCTACTCTTACTGTATCTTATGCCTCTGCCTGACATCTTAAGCCTTTATAAGATAGTTAATTAGATTCTGTTCTCAATCATAAGAGAAAAAATATATTTTTTTTTCTTCTTAAATATAGATTAATTTTAATTATTATTGTCTTATTTAATGTTACTTTCCTTAAAATATCCTCCAAATGAATGATTTTTCAATTGTATTGTCTTTTTTGACATTTATAACAAAAATAATTTTAAAAAATATTATAAAAATTAATACAAATGACTAATTTTCTTAATATGTGTGAAATCATTTTTCTCAGCTTATAATAAAAAGCAGAAGGTAATTTTCAACAACAACTAGAACGTTTTCTTTTTCTTCATGGTAAAAGTCCGATTCTTTTCTTCTATATATACACCTATTTGACAATTATTCTACTCTATAGTTACTCTTAGTCCATATATTTCAAGATATTAAATAAGAATATTTTAAACTTAATATACTAATATTAAATATTTTTTAAGGGTGTACAAAAACCTTAAATATAAAAAATATGGTCCAAAGGGAATATAAGAAATAAATACTTAATTCATCAAGACTAATGCAATTATGCAAGTAGTTAAATTAATTATTTGTAATTAATAATGTCATACTTTGAAATTTATTCTAAAAGGTACTTAGTGTTAATGGCTCAATAAATGTATTTACTTTTATAAAAAATGAGTAGATAACTCATTAATAGACTCATAATAAATTAATGATATAAAAGAAATTCTCAATTAAAATTATTATTTTTTATATATAAAAACAGAGACCGTATTAAATATCTTATTTTTTTTTAAAAAAAAAGATTCTTTAACTAATATTATAAGGATATAGACTAGCATTCTCTTTCTTCCTTTTTAATGATGTCGCTCAACAAAATTTTTATGAAACGTGTAAAAATCCTTTAGTGAAAGTGAAATATTTGGAAATATTTGATGACATTTTTCCATGCCATATTACCATCTAGGCATCTACTCTTTCTATCATGTCATGATTAGAATTATTTCAGAAAGTGAAATTCGTTGGTAGATTGAATAGATATAAGTTGGCTTAGCATGGAAATTTTCAGGTTAATAAATGATGGCATCTCTCTGGTATTTTGCTGCGCCATGTGACCTTCTCCTGCATTTATTTGGGCAAAAAGAAGACTGATTCCAAGTATATAAGTTTGTTTCGAAGCATTAGAGTCTTGGGCTGTTTGCTTTCTGCTTTGTTTCTTCAATTATATGATGATCATGATGTGTTCTAATGTTCTTCATTATCAAGTTGTTAATATATGCATTTATTGTACATAAATAAATGTGTGTATAGGATCATATGCGCTGCGTACGTCTGGTTTAAGATACCTATTTATAAAATTCTTAGTCACGTGAAATCCGGTTACCTAAAATTCAGTAAATTCACCATCTTATAATAGCATCTTAAACTTGAGCAGTTATGTATTAAGTTTTAAAAATGTAATTATCTTATGAGTTGTTTAAAACTTTATCATTGGAGTGAAAATGTAGTGAGTTATTTATATGTGATCTGACAGTAAAATCTAATAAAATAAGATACACGTATAAGAAATATTCGTTATAGATGTTTTTAGTTATATATAGTATTCAAGTTTGTTAGTGAATTATAAAGAAAGCATAAAACATGTTGGGTTTCTCAAACTATTTTAAAATTTAGTTTTAAAATTTATAAAATTAATGTTTTCAATCTTTGTCTATTAAAAATGTTTTATAAAAAAAAGTGTTAAAAATGTAAGGATTAAAAATATATTATTTTTTGTACGTAAGACGTAAAATAGAATTTAGTATATTTTGAAGACCAAAATATATTTTATTCATAAATAAATTATTGCATTTTAGGCTTCGAAAAAAAACACTTCTATGCAATTTTGTTTTTCTTCACATAGAAACCGGGGCTCGATTAGATGCATGCCCAAGTAGAGAATAAATTTCCAATAGCAATGAATTATAGTGTGTTTGGATGAGGAATTTTATAAATTCAAAAAATTTTAAATTTTTGGTATTTGAATTACTTTGATTTTAATTTCTATCATTCTTAAAATATTTTGTTTGGATGAGTCAATTCAAATTTCTTAAATTTTAAATTATTAGGTTGAATATGATAATTTGATTCCATCATAGTAAAATTGATTTTAAAATTAATTTATATGTTGAGATTTTTAAATTAAATTTTATAAAAATAAATATTAATCCATTTTTAAATATTTAATAATTTTAAAAATTAATATTAGATAATATTTAATAATTTGAAATTTTAATATAAGATAATATTTAGTAATTTTAAAAATATTTTTGAATATCCAATAATTAAAAGAATGAAGAGATAAGATAAAATATATAGGTGAAATAAGAAAAATAAATATGAGGAATTTCAAATTCTCCCGTTATTGAGAGAATTTGAAATTCTACTATTTTAAGGAATTTTGCTTGGATTTTAAATTCTTTGTAAATTCCTCATCTAAACAAAGCATTTCACCTCAAGAAATTTGAAATTCTTCAAATAAATGAATTACCCTATATAAATTTCTCATCCAAACACACCATTAGAGTATTTTGGGAAGATTTTTCCGTTCAGATTTCAACTGTTTTCACAAGAAAAAAGTTCAATATGAAACCGGGGCTCATGCAGATGGAAGCTTAAGTAATCAAGTAGGAAGTAAGTTTTCAGTGGCATTGAATTAGAATATTTTGGGAAAGTTTTTTCCCCCCTAGATTTCACCTGTTTTCATAAGAAAAAAGTTCCTTATGAAACAAACTATATGTTTGGAAATGCATTTTTTATTAAAAAGAGAAAGCTGTTTTTGAACATCTGTAACTTTGAACTATTAGATTATTCTTCAATAGATATTTTCTCTTTTAATAATATAATTATAACTTAAATCGATTATTATGGTTAATTATAATAACAATTAATTATGAAAATAATTAATTTTTTATAGCTATTCCAAATACACTCAAAGTTATCGCTTAATTATATTCCCGCAAACGCAAAAGTGTAACAGTGAAGTTTAGCATTCCAGGATCGTCATATAGATTAAGATGATGAAGCAAGGGTACTTGTTGAGATTCCTCGATACATATTTCTTGATCTTTTTTATTATTTTTTTAATAGATAAACACTTCTGTTTAATTTGATTAAATTATTTTTTTGATCCTTAAATTATTTTTAAAAAATTAAGGGGTGTTACAATAGAATAGAATTTTAAAAAAATTAAAAAGACTTTTTGGTCATAATTCTTTTTTATGGTATTCAATTAATGAATAGTTAAAAAAATAAGGATATTTTACTAATATAAATGTCTTATGATATTATATTTCAATCTTAAGTTTGCGAGTATCATTAAGAACACCACATTTAATATATTGTTCACTTTAATCTTTATTGAATTGTTACTATTGTATCCTCGAAAAAATACTTTAGTAAATTAAGAAAGAAAAATATTCATAAATAACTCCTAGTCTTAACTCCTAACTAACGTGAGAATTTTTTGGTATATTAAAACAAACATCAATAAAGATTAAGGGGCAAAAGTAGCTTAAACCCTAGTATAAATAATTAATTTCTTTTTTAAAACCCTTATATGAAGACAAGCAAATTCAATAACTTGTGATTAACAACACTATGTATTGACACCAAATGAATCTTCTTCAAAACCTTCATTTAAAAAAATGGAATAATTTTTCTAGAGTTGGATTCACATTCAAACTTGAACATAATATTTCAAAACCACAAATAAATGTCTAGTTGTTAGGTGTAGCCGTGTAAAGAGGATATTGGGTTAGTTTAGGTTTGGTTAACTACTAACTCTGGTTAGTCCTCTTGTTGTGTATAAATATACTTTCCTTGTGCTTCTAATAACAGATTAATATTCATAGATGAAATACAATTCCACTCTCTGTCATTTTCTCTCTAATATGGTATCAAGAGCTGAAGGTTAATTTCTCAGGAAACGTCATGGCTTCCGCACCCACAAAATTGTTCATTCCGCAAACCTTCTCAACCCCAATCTCATCCAAGCTCAGCGATGACAACTTCCTCACGTGGAGGCAACAAGCCGAATCTACAATCAGAGGGTATCGCCTACAGAAACACATTCTTGGTAATACTCACGTCCCCTCTCGGTACAAGATAGATGAAGATGAAGAAAAAGGGGTTCTCAGTGCAGAATATGAAAACTTTGATCAACAAGACAATTTGCTCAAATCTTGGTTATTGGAAAGCATGGAACCTCAATTCAAGGTAAGAATGGTTGGATACGAGTGGTGCCATCAAATGTGGAGAAATTTGGAAACCTACTTTGCTTCTCAAACCAAGGCTCGTGTCAAGCAACTCAAGATTCAGCTAAGAGGAATCAAGAAATCCACGGCCATCAATCATTATCTTCTTGAAATCAAGAAGATTGTAGACACCTTGGCAGCAATTGGGTCACCTCTCGATACAACCGAGCACATTGATGCGATCTTCGATGGACTGCCTGAAGAATATGACCCATTCGTAACCTCTGTTCTTACAAGAACTGAAGACTACACAGTTGAGCAAATTGAAGCACTTCTGATGGCTCACGAAGAAAGACTGGAAAAGCACAAACGCAGTGAAAGTGCTCCTCCTCAAGCCAACCTCGCCCAAGGAAATCTGCCTGTAAGAAAACAGTACACCAATCAAGGTAGAGGCTTTAATAATAATAACAGCAATGGAAGGAACCCCCATAGAGGCAGAGGCCGGGGAAGAATGAATCAGAATTATGGAAGAGGTAATAGGCAACAGTGTCAAGTCTGTGGAAAGATAGGTCATACAGCCTTTCACTGTTGGCACAGGTATGATCAGCAATTCACTGAACCAAATTTCAATAATACTACTAATTCTTACAGTTCAGGGAACTCACAACAATTACAAGCCATGTATGCGGGTTCCCAGAATACAGCATATGATGATCAATGGTATCCAGATTCCGGAGCCACTAATCATCTTACACCAGATTTGAGTAATCTTAGCTCAAAATCTGATTATCCGGGTCCAGACAAGATTACTATGGGCAATGGACAAGCACTTGGAATTAATCATACAGGTACATCATATTTTCTTACTCCTACGTCCTCCAAAATCTTCACTTTAAAGGATCTTTTACATGTCCCTCAAATAACCAAAAATCTACTAAGTGTATCTAAGTTTTGTAGAGATAACAAGGTTTATATTGAATTTCACACCCATCATTGCCTTGTTAAATCTCAGGATTCGAAGGAAATTCTTCTACGAGGGAACCTTAAAAATGGCTTATATGTTTTTGATGAAGTGCAAATCATGAAATCTGATACTCATAAGCATACTGCTGTTCATGATCCTACTGTTCTGAATGTTCAAAGGTCTAAGACCTCTTATGATACATGGCACAATAGGCTTGCTCATGCCTCTAAGAAAGTTGTAAAAGCTGTAATGAACACTTGTAATGTTCCTATATCTGTTAGCAATAAAGATATCTCTGTTTGTAAGCACTGTTGTATTGGAAAGTCTCATGTCCTCCCCTTCCCTGATTCTTCCACTGAATATAGTTTCCCATTTGAGCTTGTCTATAGTGATGTTTGGGGTCCCTCACATTATGCTTCTAGAGAAGGTTTTAGATACTATGTTCACTTTACTGATGCTTATTCAAAATACACATGGATATACTTCATGCATAATAAATCTGAGACTGCGCATCATTTTAATCACTTTAAAACCATGGTTGAAAATCAATTTGGCACTCACATTAAAATGTTTCAATCAGATGGGGGCAAAGAATTTATGTGTCTTAATAAGGTTTTCAATGAAAGTGGTATTCTTCATAGACTAAGCTGCCCTCACACTCATCAACAAAATGGTTTAGCTGAGAGGAAACATAGACACATTACTGAGATTGGCTTAACACTTTTAGCTTCATCTGGTTTGCTGCAAATATTTTGGGCTGATGCTTTTAGCACAGCTTTGCATGTAATAAACAGACTTCCTACACCTACTCTTGGACAAAAGTCCCCATATGAAATGCTATTCAATAAAATACCAAACTACTTTCTTTTAAAACCTTTTGGATGCGCTTGCTATCCTCATTTAAGACCCTTTAACAATCATAAGATGGATTTTCGATCTTCTCAATGCCTTTTTATTGGATACAGCATGCACTATAAGGGATATAAATGTTTTACCAGTGATGGAAAAATTATCATATCCAGGAATGTGATCTTTGATGAAGACACATTCCCTGGTGCTTTGGTTTTCTCCACTAACAAATCTGCAGGAATGTCCAAACCCACATCATCACATACGGTACCAAGTATTCCAGTTTTGCAGCCCTCATCACTGGTTCCAGTCACTACTTCCAGCACAACCTCCTT